TTTTCCATCCTTCAACCTCTCGGGTGGTTTTTCTGGAGTAGAGGGTGCATTAGGAAGAGTCAGCACCCTATGGCAGCGTCAGGAGATGGGCGAGTCTGCAGACAGCGGGCGCTGGAAGGTTGGGGAGAGCAATCGCGGTTACCGGCGATTTCAGTGCGGCTTCCTGAGCCGGTGGGGTAGGCCGGGCGTTGCTGTCCCAGCCTTACAGATGAGTGGCTCTGGGACGGAAGTGCCTGTCAAGGTCACCCGGACACAACAGGCAAGGTAGTCCTCTGGCTTGCAGTCGGGTCCCCCACTGGCCGCGGCTCCGACGCCCAGGGGGATGACGTCACCCTCGTGCCCCGCCCCCCTCCGCCTGCGCTCAGCTCGCCTCGGCGGTGCTCAGTTGCCAGTTGCCGAGGTGGGCAGGAACACACGTGCTAGGTCACACGGGAAATGGCCGGGCGAGCGGGGGAAGTAAGGCTTGGTTCTCGAAGCTTCTGGTGGCTGGAGGCGCAAATAGTGTGGGAATATCGTGCCACCGCTCATTCTAGTGACGGATGCCCTCCCGGACCCCGTCCATGCCCTCCCGCAGACACTCATAGCTTCCTTACCAGGTCCTGCCAGCTTACTCATTTATGGCGCGCCAGGGCTGCCAGGCTCCCCGGAGAGTGCCCATAGAGGAAGCTGGCTCATGCAGGACAGGCTGGGGGCACCCGGCCAGGGCACAGGTCCATTGATGGGCTGGGGGGACTGGGACCAGCCCCCTCTCCACATGGCAACGCCACCATGGCCCAGGACCCAGATGGCCCTAGGGCTTCGGTGGACACTGCCAGCCCGCCTGGGTCAGTCTATTGGCTGACCTCCCCCACACACTCATTCTTCCTGTGTTCTGGCTCAGGTTTCAGGACCCGCCTGCCGGCCAGATGGCAGGACTCTCTTTAAAGTGACTCTGCACTTCTCTGCTCACATCCATTTTGAATGACTAGCAAGGTTTAACTCTGAGAACGTTTTGTTTTTCCAAGAATTGGGGTTCTCCTGTCACCCTCCACCACTGCCTTTTACTCTTTACTTAATTTTCCATATTCACTTCAAACAATATGAGGGTCTTCACAAGATTTGTGGAGATGCATATTGATGAGAAAACTGCATGGATCTTGAAATCTTTCACACCAAAATAAACTTGGACTTTCATTCCCCTCTTCCATGAGCTTTTTTAAAAAGTCCCCTCACAGATATATAGGCACATTCCAATTCATGGCTTATACACCTGAGGCTTCGTTTCTGTTTCCGACACTGGCTGCTTTTAGTGGGACTCAGCTTTTCAACAGTGTTTAAAGCCCCCACGTTTCACCATAAAAGATGAAATAAGAGGATATATCTGCTTGCAGTGGCAGCCACCCAAAGGGGACAGCAGCTGAATACACAGTCTGTTCAGAGCGGAAATGTCACATGGAGGGATGGTGATGGCCAGCAATCATCATGGCAGTCAGGGATACCTGGCAGACTCTTATACCCCGCCCTCCCAGCCCTATGGAAGCAAAGTGCTTGGAGGAAAGTGGGCCCTGCCCTCCAAGTGGTGTTGCCTATAGAGCGCCCACTTGTGGCCAGGGATCATAACTGCTGTTGGCCCCAGGAGACCGGGAGCTGCTATTCCTATCCGGCCAGGCTTCCACCACCAAGTTTATGGGTGCAAACAGTGAGGTCAGAAGAATGCAGGTGAAGTGAGGAGACTGCCAGTGTTTTTAGGAGTTGTTGTTTTAAAGAAAGACCTTTGCTATGGGGTGCATGTGTTTGCTGGAGACAACAGAGAGACAGACAGAGAGAAATCACCCCCTAGGGAGGATGGCCATACCACAATCCCTTTTCCTCCATTCTCCTCTCAGGATTTTGGGCACATATGCATTGGCGCCCAGAGTGAGTTTTAAGCCACCAAGTCTGGGACTCAAACCACAGTTGATTGCGTGGGAGTCCAGCGACATAACATTATGCCACCCATTAGTCCGAGACTGCCAATTGTTGTTGTTTTGTCTTGTTTTTAAGAGAGGTTTTTGCTATAGAGTGCGTGCACTTGCCAGAGAGAGACAGAAAGCAAGAAATCACCCCTTGGGTTGATGGCTGCTGGCAATCCCTTCTCCTCCATTCTCCTCTGAGGATTTTGGGCATGCATTCTCCTGGCATGAGTTTAAGCCGCCAGGTCCAGGACTTGAACCACAGTAGATTACACAGGAGGCTGCCACAGGGCTGCAGTCAGGCAGATGGAGGCCGAAGTTCCCCTTGGGGACAAGCAGATGCCGTGGGGCAAATGGTTTCTGAGCACTGCACCCCTTAGAGCCAGGTTCTGCACGGCTGGAAAAGCGTGAGCATCGGCTGCCCTGAAAAGCACGCAAGGTCTGGTAGCTGGTATGATGAGGGCAGGGCAGAAGATAAGTCACAGGTACGAGAGTTCCGAGGTGCAGGGAGGAGGAAATCGGGCAAAGTGACTGTTGCTGGTGGAGGAACTGCCGGAGACAGGGAGCATGCCCCCAAGTGTGTTTTCAGATGGCCCTGACGGCCATGTGTGGGATGGACTGAAGAGACCGGAAGTGCCAAAAGGCCCAGTGGGAGGTGGCGAAGGGACCTCGAAGGGCTGCTGGGACGCTCTCACAGGCTCAGGGACAATGGGAAAGCCAGGGAGGGCTGCAGGCCAGAAGAGGAGGAGCTCCAGCGTTTACCTTCAGCCGGACTCCAGCCCACAGTGGGGGAAGAACACTCCAGGAAGCCCTGGCTTTCGGACCTGACAGGAAGGGGCTGCCTGTTTTCCACCTCAGGTATGTGCCCTGGTTTGACAAATTAGTACATGAACTTCAGTTGTCAGTACAGTGCTATACTTAACTACCCATTAGGGCTTCAGCGCTCATCAAAGAGGCTTGAAAACATGCTAGCGGCGGTAATGAGGCCTGAAGCCTTCAATTAAATTAAACTCCAGTAAGAAAGGAGACCTTGACAGGGATGCCAACTCGCAAGAGCTGCTGGCCAAATGAGCAGCCTGGGGGTGCTGGGTACCGCCTACTTTTTTTTTTTCTTCCAAGTTTATTTCTTCTGTAAGTGAGCGAGTCAGAGGCAACACTCCACTGGGGTCCCGATGCTTGGCCCAGCGTACTCAGGGAAGTCTCCAGATCCAAACCGCAATCTCCCCTCCCCCCATGAGTGAGACTTACAGAGCACTGCATTAGGGTGTGTGTGCTCACCGCAGAGACAGGGAGAGACGGAAACAGAAGGCAAGAAATCACCGGGAGATGGGGGGCACGCTGCAATCCCTTCTCCTCCATTCTCCTCTTGAGATTTTGGGCACGCACGCACACGCACCTGGTGTGAGTTGGAAGCTGCTGGGTCCAGAACTTGAACTGCGGTCAACCCTGTGAGTCCAGCACGTAAACCACTACGCCACCTACTGGCCCCGGGTCCTACTTTTCTAGGAGTCTGAGACATGTGCCTAAGGACCTGGTTTGGGGGTGGGGGAGGTAGCATGGCCAGACCTCTGCTCCCACTTCCTGTCGGAAAGTCATTCCTGAGAAGGGAGCCCAACAGTAGGGCCCCTCTCCAGGGAGACACTCAGCCCAGTCCCGCCCCTCCCTAGGCCACAGTCTGGGTTGAGAAAGGGAGGGTCTGGCCTCAGAATGAGGACACATAGGCCCCTTGTTCCCCAGGAAGTCTGGCAGGCTGAGCTTTGGTGTCAGGCAGGGTGCCAGGTAGGGGAGAGCCCTCAGGCCTCAGCCTCTTCCTGCCTGGTGGTTCTCCTCTTGAGATTTTGGGCACGCACGCACACGCACCTGGTGTGAGTTGGAAGCTGCTGGGTCCAGAACTTGAACTGCGGTCAACCCTGTGAGTCCAGCACGTAAACCACTACGCCACCTACTGGCCCCGGGTCCTACTTTTCTAGGAGTCTGAGACATGTGCCTAAGGACCTGGTTTGGGGGTGGGGGAGGTAGCATGGCCAGACCTCTGCTCCCACTTCCTGTCGGAAAGTCATTCCTGAGAAGGGAGCCCAACAGTAGGGCCCCTCTCCAGGGAGACACTCAGCCCAGTCCCGCCCCTCCCTAGGCCACAGTCTGGGTTGAGAAAGGGAGGGTCTGGCCTCAGAATGAGGACACATAGGCCCCTTGTTCCCCAGGAAGTCTGGCAGGCTGAGCTTTGGTGTCAGGCAGGGTGCCAGGTAGGGGAGAGCCCTCAGGCCTCAGCCTCTTCCTGCCTGGTGGTGTGAGGACAGCGGGAATGTGGCCAGAAGCTGGGGAAAGCTGGCCAGTTCTGCAGGGCTCACTCCAGGGGCTGAGGACAGCGTGTGTGTGTGTGTGTGGGGGGGGGGGGGGGGGAGGGCAAAGAAAAAACG